TTTCTAAAGGTCGTGAATGCGGCTGTTCGTATTTCCCAAAAGAATATGCTGGAGACCCTGGATTGATCTCAAAATGCTGTTAGAGGTTGACAGAGTTGAATTTTTGAACAGTTGCATTACTCATTTTCGACAGACATTAGCAGGTAAACATCCCAATGGGCCTATGAGTGCTGTTCGAAAATCGTTAGTTGTTATACGATGCACGGAAAGCAAACTGGCAGTGGAATCTATTTTCAAACATATCATACACCATTCGATAGAGGACTTCAAGGCGGTCCAGAATATATGTACTGTGATCTTTTTTCACACTTTTTTCCATTAAAAAATTTCGAACATGTCAAGAACGGAAAGTTTTCGTCGTTTTTGGAATTCGTTTTTTGAAATTATGTTAGAAGATGGAATGTTCTAACTTGTTTTTCCTAATTCAGCATTGAAAGCCAAATTAGAAAATAGTTTTATAACATATTTAGAACAAAACGACTATTCACAAAAGATTACACAATGTCCATGGTTCAAAAACGGAACACAACTTTACAACTCTCTTACAAGTTTTTTTATAGGTGCTAGAGACAATATTTTCACATGGTTAGATCTGCTATATGCTCAGCTTCAAAGGTACCAAAAGGTTTTCTAAAAATTCCTTTTCCTCGTTGAGAACAATCGGCTTTAAAATGTTTATCGTTTGCTCAGTGATCGTCGTGAGATTAAAGTCCCATCCAAACCCATAGGATTTGATGAGATGAGATGAGAAATTTTCATTCCATTCCATCCCATGACCATCACTGATTTGCTGTCAGAGTTTCTAATTGGGTCAATTTCCGATGGTGCTTGAAGATGATTTATTATTATATTTCACGGTTATACCTTTGTTTCTTTGATCCTTGAATTTGAAAATAAACCTGATTGTTAGTAATTTATTGAAAACGAGATGTTTAGAATATGGCTTCTCTGAGACCAAACTCAACATGAAGATGAGGGATTGATTGAAATGGAAAATTACCATTGTATTGATAGGTAGAATAAGGCTGAACAAAGATGAGCTTGCCTCCTACTTTTTCAACTGCTTTAGCACTAAATGCACTAGCATTTTCACATATGGCACCCGTATATCCTTTTGATTTCAATAGGTTAACATTATGTTCATAGAGAGACCTGGCAATGCCTCTATTACTATAGTCTGGATGAACCACCACACCAACCCAATGAGCCCATTGACCTCTTCGTATGGGTTGTTCTTTTGTTTGAGCCCAATCTGTATCAAACTTTAACCATAATCCTTTCAGAGCTTTGAATTCTTCAGGCTCATCAGGGAAGGGAGGAGACCCAGGAGCATCAACAAAATCAGCAGTAAACCGACATCCAACTACTTTATTAGCTTGCCTATCAATGGCAATCGTTGATAATGCTGCCAAAGCCGGTTCAAAAATGCTGAGACCCGCTCGACAGTTTTGTAAGGAACCACTTTGACACTAAGAATTATTTATTAAGCAAACAGAATTATTTGTCTTGGCTTTACTGAGTACAAAAACATGTGCTGAGTAGCCAGTCAAAAATTAGTAGAATTCATGATTTGTTCTGAACATATGGAGAATTCTGATTTCCGGCTGTATCATGTGAAAAGCATTCGTCGTTCGGCAATTCGCGGTGGGCTTCGATTTTCATGGATGCATTCTGGAGATCAGCAATTACCATTTCTGATGTATTCTGAT